CTTATTCAGGTCTTTTTTATGTTCAACAATGTTCTGTAGTTTTCAGAGTATAAGTTTTGCATTTCCTTTGTTAAATTTGTCCCTAAGTATTTTATTTCTTTTAATGTTATTATAAATGGACCTGTTTCCTTAATTTCATTTTTGGTTTGCTCATTGCTGCTATACAGAAATACAATTGATTTTTGTATATTGATCTTGTCTCCTGTACCCTTGCTGAAGTCATTTATTAGTTCTAACAGTTTTTTAGTAGATTCCTTAGGATATTTTATATATAAGATCACATCATCTGCCTTTGTTGTTGTTGCTGTTTTCTTGCCTAATTACCCAGGCTAGAGTCACCAGCACAGTGTTAGATAGAAATGTTGAGAGCAGACATCCTTGTCTTGTTACTGATCTTAGGAGAAAACCATCCAGCCTTTTACCATTAAGTATGTTAGCTGTATGTTCTTTGTAGATAATCTTTATCAGGTTGAAGAAATCTTCTAGTTCTAGCTTATTAGGTAAATCACAAAAAGGTGTTAGATATAGTTAAATACTTTTTCTGCATCTATTGAGATGATAATGTGGGATACTTAATTTTATTACTATGGTGTATTACATTGATTTTTTATATATATATATATATTGAACTAATCTTGTATTCCTGGGATAAGTCACACTTGCTCATGGTGTATAATCCTCCTTACATGTTGCTCAAGTCAGTTTACTAGCATTTTGTTGAGGATTTTTATGTCTGCAAACAGGGTATTGGCCTGTAGTTCCTTTGTGGTGTTCTTGTATCAGGGTAATTTGGTCCCATAGAATAAGTTGGGAAGTGTTCCCTCTTTTATTTTTTTGGAAGAACTGTGAAGGATTTTTGTTAATTCTTCTTTAAATGTTTGGTAGATTTTGCTAATGAAGCTAGGGATACATCTTGAAATTTTCTTTGTGGGAATTTTTGTATTACTTATTCAGTATCTTAATTGTCTATTCAGATTTTCTATTTCTTCTTGAGTTAATTTCAGTAGTTGTGTCTCTTTAGGAATTTGTCCATTTCGTCTAACTTATCAAATATGTTGGCATATAGTAGTAAAATTTTTTCTGTTTTAAAAAATATGTTTTATTTATTTAGAGAAGAAGGGAGAGATAGAAACATTGATCGGCTGACTCCTGCATGCCCCCTACTGAGGATCTAGCCCACAACCCGGGCATGTGCCCTGACCTGGAATTGAACTGGGACCTCTCAGTCCATGGGGCAGTATTTAATCCACTGAGCCACACCGGCTGGGCTATTTTTTTCATTAATGTAAATATTTAAAGTTAAAAATTCCCCTCTGAACAGTGCTTTAGTTGTATCCCATAAATTGTGATATGTTTTTATTATCTGTGTTTTATAGTAATTTTGCCATTTCAGTTTGTGTTTCTCTTTTGACCCAATGTTGAGTTTTTGTTTGTTTTTAAATTCTCACCCAAGGGTATTTTTCTATTTATCTTCAGATAGAGTGAGAGGGAGGAAGGGAGAGCGGGAGAGGAGAGGAGAGAAAGGAGAGAGGAGGAGAGAGGAGAGAGAAACATCAATGTGAGAGAGACACACTGACTGGTTGCCTCCCGCATGACCCCAACCAGAGCCAGGGACCGAACTGAAACCAAGCAAGGTATGTGCCCTTGATCAGAATTGAACCCACGACTCTTTGGTCTGCGGGCTGATGCTCTAACTGCTGAACCAAACTGAACAGGATAAGAAAGAGTTCTTAAACACTTTTTTGGTAGAAAGGTCCTTATGTTTCCTGATTTTGTTAATTTTTTGTTTATTTGGTATGTGTTTGAGAGAACGTATGATTTCAGAGAAAGTATGACTTCTATTTTTTATATTTATTGCGGTTACTTTGGTCATGAATATACATCTAAGAATTGTTTTTGTTGTTTTATCCTCATTATGTAGTCTGTGTTTTCTCAGCTTTGGGGGGTGTATGTCTTATAATTTGGAAGTCGTCTTTTTTTTTTTTAATTTATTTATTTATTTATATTTATTTTTTTATTTTTTATTTTTTTTAATCCTCACCGGAGGACATTTTTCCATTTTTTGTTCAGGTAGAGTGGGAGGGAGAGAGAAGAACAGAGAGAGAGAGAGAGAGAGAGAGAAACATCGACGTGAAAGGGACACATCGAGTGGCTGCCACCCGCACGACCAACCAGGGCCGGGGACAAACTGCAACCGAGGCACGCACCCTTAGCGGGAACCGAACCCGGGTCTCTCAGGACCACAGGCCGATGCTCTAACCGCTGAGCCAAACCGGCCAGGGCTGGAAGTCTTCTTTTTTAAATTCTTTTAATGATCACTTTTATATCTTTAAATGGTCTTTATTTCTTTTTTTTTTTTTTTTTATCCTCACCTGAGGACATTTTTTCTATTTTTTGTTCAGATAGAGTGTGGGAGGGAGAGAGAGAGAGAGAAACATCAATGTGAAAGGGACACATCGAGTGGCCGCCACCCACACGACCCAACCAGGGCCGGGGACAAACTGCAACCGAGGTACATGCCCTTAGCGGGAACCAAACCCGGGTCTCTCAGGACCGCAGGCCGACGCTCTAACCGCTGAGCCAAACCGGCCAGAGCTAAATGGTCTTTATTTCTTGATTTAGCAGTTTTCTTTTCACCCTGTCCATAAAACATGAGATCAGTGTATTATTTCCACTTTCTTTCCTTTTTCCCTTTACCTTTTGTTACAGCATTTCACTGTTTGTGATGTTTGCACTCAGAGTTGTCGTTTTTCTGCTAGATTAAGTGGACTCTGCTCACTTCCAGTTCTTTGCTACGCATTCCTTTTTCCGTCCTAGTAATTCTCCCTCTCGTAATTTCTTCAAGATCCAAGGGCACTGTATTCTCTGGGTCTCTCGTTCAAATCCACAACACACTAATTTACAGCCTCAACTAACACTACGTAACAGGGCCCATTTACCCACACTCTGCTTAACAGAATGTTATCAAGGGATTTTTTTCTTCAGTCTTTGCCAGTCTGATAGGCATAAATAGTATTTCTGTTCAGTTTTAATCAGTAACCCTCTTCTTGTATCTGAGATCAAGTGCTTTCATATGTTTAAAAGCCCTTTGGGCCCTGGCTGGTTTGGCTCAGCGTTAGAGCGTCGGCCTGAGAGACCAGGGTTCGGTTCCCGCTAAGGGCGCGTACCTCGGTTGCAGTTTGTCCCCGGCCCTGGTTGGTCGTGCGGGTGGCAGCCACTCGATGTGTCCCTTCACGTCGATGTTTCTCTCTCTCTCTCTTCCTTTCCCTCCTCCCACTCTATCTGAATAAAAAACGGAAAAATGTCCTCGGGTGAGGATAAAAAAAAAAAAAAGCCCTTTGGTCTTTGCTCTGCCTGCCAGTGTCCTGTGCCCCTCTCTCTCTGTTTGCTTGTTCTCCTTTGGTTTTTGGAGGCTCTTCTTTATAGTAAGAAAATTGCCCTTTTTTTGGTCATTTGAGAGGCCATTGTTTTCTCCTAGTTGTGTGTTTGTGCTTCTTAATATTTATTACTATATGAAAAAAATTAACTTTATGTTGTCTCGCTTTTATCCATCTTTTCTTTCATGGCTTCTGGATTTTGTGCCTTGTTTAGGAAGGCATTTTCTCACTATGAGATTTTTTACATTTTTATTTTCTTGTCATAATATTAAATTCTCCCCCACCCCTTATATTTTTGAGTCACAAAGCATAAAGAACTTATTTTGGCATTAAGTATAAAATGGATTTCTGATGTAAAACCTTTTTTTTCAAGTGATGACCACTGACTCAGCAGTATTTATTAATTCACAGAGATATATTTTTGGAAGTCATCAATGTAGCACTGGTGGTAGTAGGATCACCTAGGAGTATACTATAGAGTGAGAAAATAGGGCTTAGGCTTGAGTCTTGAAAAAAATCCCAAAATATCCACGTAGGTTTGAGGGGGATGAGCCAACAAAGGCAACGGGAAGGAACACCATAGAGCCCGGAAGCCGGGCTGAGGGGAAGGGCGCCGGGGCTCGGTAAGTTGAGGACTGAGGGTTGTTCACCAGATCCAGCCACATGGACATCTTGGGCACCTCGGGAGTCACTGCTTGGTGAAGTGGTGAGGAGGTTCAGAAGGGACTAAGATGTGGGGGATGGCAACCTGTGACAGTCCTTTCAAGAAGTCAACCTGTGAAGGGCGGGAGAGCAGAGCCGCCTTTAGAAAGGTTTTTAAAGGTAGGCGACGATTCGCATGCTTAAATGCTAACAGGAAGAATCTAGTGAAGAGGGACAAGTGAAGAGCATCAGTAGTGAAAGATTCCTAAGAAGGGCCATCGAGATCTCAATCTGCCTGAGTCAGAAAGGCCACTTGTATATTGCAGCAGGAAGAAAGGCAAGGAGATAGCTCTTTGTTCACCTCTTCTTGTCTGTAAAGTAGCACTAGGTTAGAAACTGATGATGGGTAGTATGGTGGGTGCCTATAGACCCAGCAGAGGTCAAAAGTCATGTCATTGAGGAACTGGCTGAGGTTAAAGGTGAAGTGATTGTATCGCAGATCCAGAGAATTATCTCCATCTGGTTCCAAATTAGGACCTTTGACTTAGCTGCTATACCTGGGGCTGGGGCCAAGGGTCACGCTTTCCCCAGCCTGTTGCTTTTCCTCCCTATCCCACCTCCCATTCGGGTTTTGTTTGCCCATATTAAACCCAGCTCCAGCCATGGCCTCATTCCTGTTGCCACAGTGGTACAGAAGGTCCCCCAGCCATTGACCCCTGGTACATGGTCCTCTCAGGCCCCAGTTCATTCTGAATCATTCTGATTCCTTGTGGAACTTTCCTACAAGGGACTGGTTTCTATTGCTTTTGACCTCTCAGGGCATCTGACCTCCTGAATTCCAATAGGGAAGGTCTTTTTCATTCAGTCTTTATGTTGGAAGCTGTTGGTGTATCTCAGAGGCAGAGATGATGCTGCACTGGCTTTTTGGTGTTCTGCTTCTATCTTCCTCTGCTCTGGTCTTGAGCATCTTCTGTTCTGCAGGGGGACACAAACTCGCCTGATTCCAGAGACTCTTGGATCGGGGATGTGCGGAGCCGTTCTGCAGTGAGGAGCAGTCACCTGGATCTGGCTGGGTCTGCCTGGAAGAGCTGGGTCTACAGTAAGTGGTGGGCGTAGTCACTTGCCTGGTTTGGGGACTAAGCAATGCTAGATCCAGGGAGTTCCTGTCCCTCAGAAGCTGCTGCTGTCCAAGGCTCAGAGCCTCCACCTCTTCTTTGTAGGTCACAGAGCCTCTCTGGGCAGCTGCTGTTCTTTGTCCAGTGTGTCCAGCCTGGGGACCTGCTTGTCGTCCTCCTACCAGGATTTGGCCAAGCACATCGTGGACATCTGTATGGCTGACGTGAGAAACTGCTCCACTTGTCCCATGGTTCCTTTAACAGAGCTTGGCCAGGCGGAAGAGGGAGGGAAAGAGCAGGGCAAGGCCGACGTGGCTTCTTCAGTGGCTCTCCATCTTGACAAAAGGGCACTTCGGTAAACGATGGCCCAAGTGACCAATCCAAGGGTCTGGTTTATACCCACTAACTGGGTGTGGTCACTGTGTCCCTAGGTAATGGCTGCCTGCTCAGATGATCTGCACAATCTCTTCAGTTGTCAGGCAGCAGCCGGCTGGAAGTAAGTCCCTTTGTAGTGTCTTGTCCTAACACCGTTGTCCTGCTCACCCTCCCTCCTTTCCCTTCTCCACCCTGAGCTCCTTTGTGACCCTGGAACCATTTCACCTCCTCCTCCTTGTCCTCGGCGTCCCAGTTACCAGGGCGAAGAGCAGGAGGTGCAGCTGTACTACAAGGTGTTCTCCTCTACTCGGCATGGCTTCCTAGGGGCTGGGGTGGTGTCCCAGCCACTGTCTCACGTGTGGGCAGCTGTGAGTGACCCCACCCTGTGGCCCCTGTACCACAAGCCCATCCAGACAGCAAGGCTGCATCAGCGGGTCACCAACAGCATCAACCTGGGTAAGCCCAGGGAGGCTTCCATGGCTCTGCCTGGGGACAGGTAGCAGGTCAGTGGAGGTGGCCCTCTTGGGAGGCTGGGTCCAATTGGGTATCAGGTTGTAGAATGATGGGGTCTTGGGGGTCCCTGGACTGGGAAGGATTTAGGACAAGGTCCTTGTGCACCTGCTGACTCTGCCTATCCCTGACCCTCCAGTGTACTTGGTGTGCAATCCCACCCTGTGTGCACTGAAGCAGCCGCGGGATTTCTGTTGTGTCTGCGTGGAAGCCAAAGAGGTGCCTGCCTTGCTGTTGGTAAAGATATTGTGGAGGAGCTTGCGCTAGAGTGTTGTATGAAGCCATTTTTGTGGGCCTCAGGACCTCTGGGGGAAGGAAGCCAACTTGAGTGGGAGTGGGGGTGATTGAAGGCTGGCCCAGAGCTGCCTTCCACAATAATGACTGCATGGAGCCTGTCCCTGTCTGCTGTACATCATGCAGGCAGGACTCACATCACTCTCTGTCCCCAGGGGCACCTTTCCGTCATGGCAGCTCAGTCTGTATATGATACATCCATGCCGAGACCCAGCAGAGGGATGGTCCGAGGGGAGATCCTGCCCAGTGCCTGGATTCTACAACCTCTCACCGTGGATGGAAAGGAGATCACCAGAGTTGTCTACTTGGCCCAGGTGATGTGCCCCGTGCACCGCCTTACAGCACGCCTAGATTTGACCTCACACCTGCATGGGAGTTTTGTTTAGCTGCTCATCATACTTCAGTGCCCCGAGAGCTGAAGACTCAAGGGCTTCATGGGTCACAGTAAGGGGAGTCAGTGGGGAATCAGGAAAGAATGAGAGAGTGGATCAACCTTCTCTAAAGCTGCTACTACCAGAGAGCCCAGCAGCCTACTTCCTCTGGTTGTTCCCAAGGTCCTCAGGGGATACAGGAGTCACTGAGCCCGGCCCATTCTGTTCAACTCTACTCCCAGTTCCCTGAATTGACCTTTGTCATTGGGAGGTGAAGCCAATGCCTAGATGTGAACAGCAGAGCCCAGGGCTGTGAGTTCCTGTACTGCAGATAGTCTGAGGAGTTCTACCCATCATGACAGTCAGTGGGGGACTACTTTTGGCTGAAGTGTGCCCTGGCACACTCTCAGGTCCATCTGTACTTCTGACTCTTCCCTGTTTTATTTCAGATAGAACTTGGTGCTCCAGGTCTCCCGCCTCATCTCTTAAGCTCCTTCATCAAACAGCAGCCGCTGGTTATAGCCAGACTGGCTTCCTTTCTTGGTAGCTAGCGTCTCACCATCAAGATGGTGCTGCTGAGATTCAGGCCCAGGATGCTCCAGAGACGCTGGGGCAGCTCTTGTTACTCTCCATACCCTGATGCAAGGAGAGCCGAGGCTACCTGCTATGACCAACTGGGAAGACAGCTCTGAACCCCAAGTTGCCAGTGAAGCCCAGTCAGGACTTGATCACAGCTGGACGTCCAGAACGAATGAAACTCAACTCACCTTCTTGGATTTTTCACTCTTTCCTGTCTCTGGGACCCTATGGCAGACAAGTCACTCAAGGATCAGGATTGGACATAGCCCGCAGGACGGGGAGAACGCAGTGCTCTGGCATGGTGCTGCCTAGCCCTCGGGCTGGTAGGAAGCAGCCATTGGCTGAGACGGTTCAGAAAACTCCAGCATTCAGTTCCACTGTGGGAGGGAGTATTACCAAAACAGAATACTGGTTTAAAAAACAGCTGCACTAACCAGAACAGTGATTCAGAATCATTTCTCCTTGAGTTTCTACTCTTCCTTCCGTTTCCTCACAGGAGAGGACATCTGGGTCTTTGCCTCAGTCAGGAGTATTGAGCAATACTCTGTCATGGAGACATCACTCCAGAGCTCAGTAGAAGGAAAAGACCGCTGTAGAAGCTGGCTGGACAGATTTGGGGTTAGGGTGAGGCCTAGCTCTTTAGGGGAGGATAGGGTGGTTAGGAAGTGGGCAGCCAGGTGCTGGCTGCCAAGGCAAGATGAATTTCAGAGATGAAAAACTGTCTTTTGAAGACAGAAGAGAACATAATGGAACTCCTAAAGAAGGTAAGTGACTTGTTAGGAGGAAGCTCAGTTCCATTCCTTACTGCCTCACAGCCTGGGTCCCAGTTTTAGTGGTTTCCTTAACATTTCATGCTGCTGCACCTATTCTAGGATGGGTGGAGAATGGGTTGTTTCCTTTTGGTTTGCTGACCTTGAGCTTTTGAATATTCCATGTGGTTACCTGGAAGTGGTAGAGGTGGGAGCGAGTCCCAGCTTTAGTGCTGGTGTCCAAATGAGGTGACCAGATGGGAATCAAAAGATGTGGTAAAAAGGTTATTTAACAGAGATCTATTTTTCTAAATGTGTTTGCAGGATTTTTTTCCTCTTACCTCAAATTATTTATATATTATTGGGTTTTTTGGAGGGGCGTAACACTTGATATATTTAACATTTTATTTATGTACTCCCATCTTTTTTCATAGAAATCTCTTACCAAGACTGTTTATTAATGGTCAGACACTGCGAATTAAAAGTCTGATACATACTTTTAGTAGTGAAAACTATCCCTGGGATAGCCTGAGTGTGTCATTTGAGCTCAAAATTTAGCCTGGAGATAATATTGCCAATAACCACTCATGGTTTCAAGTTACACACTTTACACAGATGTACTGAGTGCTTTCCACGAGCCTGGCACTGTGTTAAGGCACATAAATAGCAACCAGATTAGTTGCCCAATTATGGCCAGCTCTAGCCCAAATACCAACAATGAAGGAGGATTCCAGAACAGTCATTACCACCTAACAGTGACCACAATCCCCTGGAAGGGAGCTCTGTAACAGGTGTGTGCCTCTGGGGCTTCGGAGGCAGAGCCAGCAATGGGATCCGAGTATGCGGGTAGCCCAGAGGTGACTGTAGCCCTTACTCGAGAAACCACACCAGGCCTGTGAGTCAGCAACCGAAAGAGACTGATATTATAGCAAAATGCTAAAGTGTTAAAGATAATCCACAGACCTAAACGATCATGATAGTGAGATTTTGGTTTAGAGAGGTGATTTACAGACTTCATGTGCGTCAGAATCACAGGGACTTGTTATACCCCCAAGTTTCTGATTCAGCAGACCAGGAGCCTACATACTTGTATTTCTAGAAAGTCTCAGGTGAGCCTGAGGCTGCTGGTCTGGGACCACAATGAAAACCAGTTTTGAATAATTAATGGAGAACAGATATATAGAGAGGAACTTAAATAGCTGCCTCTGTAACTCTTACATTATCTTACTGCTTAGAGTAGGCCTTTCAGGGTCACACAGGCCAGCATCAAGTTTCCCAAACTGAGCGGCCTTTAACCCGTCATCCTTGAGCCTTCAGGCTTTTCCCTCTGCCGGCCTGTCCATCCTGCCTCCTCAGAGCTGGGTGTCTGAAGCAGTTGCTTCTTAGCTTAGGGCTCAACTTCCCAAGGTAGTGCTTTTGTTCAGCCACCCCTAATGGGTGCAGAAGGTTGGTTCTCAGGCATGGAGGACTTCCTGAACTTCTGTAGTGTAAATTGGATTTAAAGGACAAAGATCTTAAAGGCCTTTGGAAATGAGAGATTAAAAAAAAAAGGTTCAGATGTAGAAACTTGTCAAAGGAGTGAGTGGGATGAGTTGAGGGGAAGGATTGACCTGACAGAAGCATGATTGCAAAGTGGTTAAGAGACACCTCCATGGAACTTACTTTGAGTAAAGGCTCCTTACCAGCTTTACTGTCACACAGCAGACCCCTCTAGGACCAGAGATCTTGGAACTTTTGCCAAGAAATATACAAGTATGTAGAGAGAAGGTTTTGCAAGCCGTTTCAATAGGGTTTCACTGAGTACCTTCCCCAACGGCTTAAATCTCTGTACACATGGCCAAAGTAGAAAACCCACAGATTTTACAGGACCTTACTTAATTCACATTATCGAGGTAGAGCATGCTTAGTCAAAAATCAATGGATCATTCAGAAACATGTAGAATCCTTTTGTTGTGAGCCAAATCACCTCCCTCCAAAACAAGCATAACAAGAGCTGCGCCACCATCTAGTTTAGTAGGGAGTCCTGGTGAGTAGAAGCTTATCCTAAACCTTGCAAGGGAGTTACACAGAAGCCAATACTATTGGCAATGAGTCAACAGGGCCTTCCTCATGCTGGGCAGTGGGTGCTAGGTGGCCTCACCACTCGGACAGCTCTACCATCAACACCCAGCTCCAAGCCCACCCTGAGACGCTGCAGCCCTCCACAGGGAAGAATCAGGTGAAAATAATGAGAGATGAAGTCCTCGGTAAAGAAGAATTTATTTTAAAAAGCTCTAGTGTTCTGGCCCCTGGCTGGAGCTAGTATGAAGTTACCTGCACAGGGCTGAAGGCAGGGAGGTGCAGGGGTAGAGCTGGGTTTCAATTGGGAGCGTCCCACCTCATCTGTTGTGCATTTTTAAGGAGATGGCAGTCCAGCTCCTGGTGGTAAGAAAATGTACTCCCAAGATTCGTGTTTTAACTTTACTCACAAGTTAAGCAGAAAGTCATTGGCCTCTGTCATGATTTCCCAAAATGAGTCTTGAGACGCTGGGATAGCAGCAAGGGGGCTCAAGCCCACACACGTCACTTCATTTAGTATCCAAGTAATAAATGCCAACCAGCTCTTCTGCTGCAGGACTTGGGTTCCTAGGCTGTCCACCATAATCCTGAATCAGGCAAACCCTCCTTCTTCTAGGACTCAGAGTGGCGAGCCTGCAGTCAGTGAGGCCAGGCAGCCACATACTTACTTCACATGTAAGCAGGAAGCCTGATTTCAGATTCAGCTACTCCTGTACCAGCAAGGATCAGCACTTGGGGTGGCTCTGGGGCCTCCTCCCGAGGCACAGTCAGCAGGGCCACTTCTCAGCCCTAGCTCTGGGCCAGCACAGTCCCTCGGTTCGGCTGCACCAGTTCACAAGCTCTTAGCTGGGGTTCTGGCATCTGGGGCTCAGCTAGAAACAGGTTGAACAGTGTTGCTAATTCTTCAGAGAAGTCCTGCAATAAGTAGAAAGATGACAGAAAAGGCAAACACATAATTCTGGATGGTTCATCCTTTCTACTAAAAATCCCAAATATCAAGCCCTGGCTAACTAGTGAGTAGACAACCTAGCCATCATATTTCCTAACTAACTTCTACACTGAAATGGACTTGAAATCTTGTCCTATGAAGTACTCTGGGATGGGAGAGAACTCTGACAGGAGGCTGAGAGCCATCTAGTGAGTACTTAATATGCACATTATTTCATCTTGACAAACCCATTCTATGGCTAAACAAAGATGAATTCTTTGCCCTAAATCATAACATTAAGTACTAGACAAGATTAAAATTCAGGTTATTGATTCAAAAAACCCACACTCACTATGCCATGCTGCTTTCCAACTATACCTGCCTTCCATCTTCCCTTCCTCCACTGACACGGTCCTTCATACAGTAGCTGCTCAAATGTGAAGAAGGCCCACCAGACCAGCTACTCCATTTTAGGGTGGTCCTGAAGACACTTGACAAAATCCACTGAGCTTGGAAAGATGCTAAGAATGCCAGGCACCATCACTTGCCCCCTTTCAGGATAAAAGGGACATATGATACCTGTTCTCTTTCCAGGTAAGAAGATATAAGGACACCTTACCTCTGGCCACTGGGCCTCACGGAGGCTATCCAGGCAGGCCTCTATCTCTTTCCGTCCCATCAGCCCTTTCTCTACCAGCTCCCGGAGCAAGAACAGCAGCAGGTCCCACTGCAATACACATGCAGAAGGAGGTCAGGGTGAGAGGAGGGCTGCACAGTGACCCTGACTGATACACATGACAGAGCTGCTGAGGAGGGAGGAGACCTGAGGTTAGCCTCCACAGGAGCCCATTCAGCATGTAACAAAACAATAAGCTGCCAGAAAAGGGGGAACAAAAGGAATAAGCTCATAACGTTTGGGGTGAGGGTGGTGGGTATGAGAACATGACCCCAGAGGGCTAAGACGCCTGTCTGCCCCTTATCCACTCACCTCCCTCGGCCGAGTGTCTGCCAGAAGCCCCACATTTCTTGGGCTCAGCAGCAGCTGCAGCGGAATGGGCACCTGAAAGTCTTCCTTCCACAGGGACAGCAGCATGTGCAGGAGCCTGCGAGCCTGCCCTCTCTCCAGCTGATGTGCCAGGGGCCCTAGGACAGGTATTTGGTCTGCAACTATGGGAAGAGAGGATAGCCCAGCTTTAAGAAATGGAGGCAGGGTCACCTGGCCAGCCCCTGGGAAGAGGAAGAACAGAAGAAAGTTTCGTGTTCTAGTCTTGCTTGTACCCAACCCTGAGATCAGGGGATCTGGCAAGAGAGCAAGGTGACAGAAGACATACCAAGGAGGGATGCTAACTCCACAGAGCACTTTGCCAGATGCTGCTCAGCAGGTGGGCACAGGAACTGGGGAGCAAGGAGATCCAAACATCAGCGCAGTCCTGAGCCAGTGTGACACTGGTGATCAGGCAAATGCAAGGACACACAAGAGTATTCTGCCATGTCCTACCTGGCGGCACCGCAGTGTCTGGCCCAGTTGGCCTAGGAGTTGCTCAAGATGCTCAGGCGACACTCCCTCCTCAGGGTCCCGGGGCCCTGCAGCCACAGAGAGCACATCCTAGAGAAAGTAAGAGAAGAGTTAGGCCTCAGAGAATGCAGCTTGGGGTGGGCAACAGCTGGTGGAGAGGCAGAAGGAAAAGGCAGGCAGGGCCCCTGGGGTGAAGTGACTGAGCCAAGGTGCCCCGAGTGAGTGGGAGGCGGGGGCAGGACAGCACAGCTGGGAGAAGCAACCAAGTGGACAACAACAGAGGGAACAGATGGAGCAGGTAAGCTGAGAAACAACATGCTGCCAGAGTTCAAGAGACAGAGCCATACCTAACCAATTTCCAGAGAGCATCTTATTCTGAAAGAATTTAGGGGAGCCCCCCTACTGCATACATGTAATGTTTTCTGTCCTTCATGCTTGTCAGTTTACCTCAGGAGATTCAAGGTTTCAGTACAGAAATCTGTCTACTGAAAACCAGCAGCTAATGGCCGCTTAGCCTTTCCTTCTCCCTCCTATATGCTCTTCTGTTTTAGTCATTCCTTTTTAGTCCCTAGTCCACGTCTCTGCTCCTTACACTACTATCCCAGACCAGGGCAAACCAGTAAAGAGTTGAGGCTTCACAGGCCATGAGGTCTCTGCGCAACTACTCAGCTCTGTGCCGCAGCACAAATGTAGCCTAGACAACTCGTAAATGAAAGAGCATGGCTGTGTTCCAATACTTACAAAGCAAGAACCAGGCTGGATTTGGCAAGTCAAGTTACGTTAAAAGTACTGATAGATTATTCTTACTGCCTGTAACTAAACAAACATTGCCTCCCACATAGAACATTGCTGAAAAATCACATCCCAGTACCAGGTGACTGCTCTTAGACTCCTACACCGCACATCCCCATCCGGAATATAATAAGAAATGCTCACATCTACCCTTTCCCCCTTCCAAGCGATTCAAGTACCAAAAATGAAAGGACAGCAGTTAGGAAAGCCATCCAATTCAACCCTTTCCTGCCTCATCCCAGTCAGTGTCAAACAAAACGGGAACCAGCTGGGTAACAAGCTGCGACAAATACTGGAGCTGACGTGAAAAAGGAGGGAGGCCAGGAAAAGAGCAGGGAGTGGGGAGAGGAGCTGAAGGGAATAGGGAGCTGTGTACTTTGATCTCGGAGATGAGGTGGGAGGGGAGGGGAGCATGGTGCTCACAGGCACGGGAGCAGCCCCTCCGATCCCCCCGGGCAGCCAGTTCTGGACCCTGGGCTCGAAGCATGCGACTCACTGCCGCTTTCACCTCTCTCCTGATCAGCGCTGCAGGTCAGAGGGAGAATAGAAAAGGGGTCAGCAGAGCAGCCCTGCATGGGCTCACCATGCCCTTTGCTTTTCCATCAGGCTCTGAGTCCTGTCTCCCCCAGATGGCCTCCAACTTCCTGCCAGTCCGCTTCTGAAAAACTTGGTCAGCCACTCCCCTCACCAGGGCCTTACCTGTGATGTTGGCTGACAACCATGTACAGGCTTTCTCTGTCGCAAGCCCCACAGCAATGTTCTCTGCACTGCTTAGAACCTGTGACACAGAAGGACTGCATAGTCAGGGGCTCGGGGAGGGTTGGGGACGATGATGAACGCCCAAGTCCACAGCTGACCCACCCACTGCCAGCAGCCTCACATGCATGTTCACGAGCACACACCTCTCCCACACCAACCGCCCAGCCCGCTAGCTCCAGGCCTCCTTCCTACGTACGGCTGCTGGAGTCTCCTCAGGGAGCAGTGCCCGGACGGCACCAGGGCTCTTCTTTTGGCAGAACCTAAAAGGAGACAGAGGAGGTCAGTGAAGTCTAGTTATTTCAACCTGACTCACAGAAGGACATGTCCTGAGTGTACTGATCATGTGGGTGGGGAGGGCTCTGCCCCACCCAGAAGCTGGGAGGGACAGGAACTCCAACAACCTGCTCTTCCAATACAACACAGACTTTGGGTCTCAAAAACTAAAGCCAAAAATAGCTTACAGAGGAAGGCAAAAAAAAAAAAAGAATGAAAAAAGTGGGGCGAGGACAAGGAATAAAGAATATGAGTATGAAAAGGTCAGAAAAATGTAAGCTAAGAGGAGAGGGTCCAAACAGACTGGTAGCTCTTACTCCCGCCCCTGGGTCAATGCCTGGGCCCCGTGGGGGCACAGCTGGGAACACAAGATCTCCAACAGCTGGGCTGGATCTCCCCCTTCCTGTCCCTGCGTCATCAGCTGCTCTTGAAGAAGCGACTCTGCCTGGCGCACCAGATCCGCCACCAGTGTGGCCCTGCAGCAGGGACAGCAATGTTTGAAGGTAGTTGGAAGGGTTGAATCAGAAAGGGGCTGCAAATTCAAGGAAATCTGGTCAGAACTAACTTCAAAGGAAGCAATTTCAGCCTCTCCCCAAATCTCACCCTTGGCCCTTCCTCCCCAATCCCCCCAATTGACTTTCCTTAGCTTGGCAATAAGGTATTAGGAGTTAAAAGGGAAAAAATGGTAAGAGGATGAGACTGGGACCCTCAACACCTCCAATGCCAAAGCCCTCAACCCATACTCACTTGATATGTTTGACACAGTTAGAGCCAATTCTCTCTGCCACAAACTCCACAGTCCTGCGCAGGGAGGGTGGCTGGTTGTGGAAAAAGGCTTGGGCCAGCTGTGCCTATGAGAGGGAGCAGTGCAGTGAAGGATTCCCTTTTCCCCACTGGGTGGCCCCCTGCCTCCACTCTGCCCCTCACCTGCAGTCCCTGGGTGGTCCGGAGAAGCTGGGTTCCCAGGCCAGTGGTGGTGGTGGTTGGGGTTATTTTCCTTACAAAGCCCCCACTCCGCCCACTGCTGCCTGATACCCATGAAGCGAGCAGTTTGCGAAGCTCTCCTGCATCAGGGAAGAACAAGTCCTTAGTTCCAGCCCCCCCCACCCCCCAACCCCACAAAGCATGTTGGACTTGAAGCATTTGTGGAATAAAGAGGCTGAGGCACCTGGGGTGTGCCTAACAACAAAACAAGCCATTAGGGTGTTAGGACCATGGGGTGCCTTTTGGGAATTCATGAAGGGACAGGCCAAGGACTAAGCACCAAGGACCACTGTGGGGAGGGGGACAACATGCATCTTCACCGATGTAGGGGCAGCAGGTATAGAGCAGGTGCTGATCCACCACAGGCAGGCCGTCCTGGGGAGAGAACAGGCCAGGATTAGGAAGGCAGGCAGTATGCCAGAAATGGGACAGAGAAATAATTTTTTTTTTAGTAACAATTTTTTTCCCCTTTATTGATTTTGAGATAGAAACAGAAACATCGATGAGAGAGAACATCAACTGGCCACCTCCTGCATGCCTCTACTGGGGATCAGGCCCAAAACCTGGGCATGTGCCCTGACCGGGAGTCGAACCGGCGACCTCTTGGTGCATGGGTCAATGCTCAACCACTGAACCGCACTGGACGGACTCAGGTAGAGAAATTATACATGAGTTCAGTCTTTATCCTGGCTTATCTCCTACTGGGCCTCAGAGAGCCTGCCTCCTTTAAGTCCTACAGACCCTACGGATCTGGCTGGACCCAACACTTACCAAACCATGCTCTGAAGCTTTTGTATCCATCTCAAAGACATCCAACTGACCCTCTTCCAGAAAGAACAGGTCCTCGGAGACTGTGGGAATCTGATGAGATATTAACACAGTACAAGCGCCAGTCAGCACTTCAGAGCTTCATCACACCTACCTCATGGTTTCAGGATTTAGGCAACCTTCCTCTGAGACTGGTCATTCCCACACCTCCTCTAACCTTTACCTCTGTCCCCAATCTTGATCAGATGCAGATATTTTCCCTCGCCCCATCTCCAGCCACAGTAGTCACCCCCCTCCTTTCCCAATCTGGGCCCTCACTCCATCAACCTGGAAAAGCCAGCCCAGGACAGCAAGCAGCAACAGCTTGTTCAGGAAGCACATCTCCCCTTCACCTTCTTTTGACAAAATCAAGTTCCTAAAAGGAAAATGAGGGTATCAGCTGAATTTGTGCAAAGGAAGAAATGAAGTAAAAGAAAGCTATGGCTAGGAAGGTAATTTTGAAAAGCAGACCCAAAAGGGACAGCTGTTGTGCAGGTGACCAGGATCTCCTCAGTGCCCCTCATATCTGCACTCCCTCTCGGCTGGGTCACAGAGGAAATAGAAAAGGGCAAATAACTACCCAGTGTCTTTCCTTGTGGGCCAAACCCAGCCTCTCCTCTGAGGGTGGGTTATAGCTATGGTACCAAATAGAAAACAGGCTGCTCAACTCTCTTCATAAACAGCAACCTCAGCAACATTCTCCCTGCACCATTTTTAGGCCTTGCCCTTTCTCTACTCACCGATGTAGACGTAGCAGGAGAGTAAAGATGCTGCGGTAATAGTCCAGCATGGGAACAATGTGGTCAGCCAGGGAAAGGAACTCCACCAGCCAGGGCACCGTGAGCACTGCTCGGTGGGCCTGCAGCCCCTGCTGCAGCAGAGCTCGTACGTCCAGGACTGGGGGCACCTGGCATGGCCAGAACTCAGTCAGCAGGTCCTGGGGGGCTGGGAATTATCTAACTCGTGGCCTTGTGGCTCCTCCCTCCTTACTAGAGCCCATATTCACCTGGCTTCTCAGGGCCAGAATGGAGTCCTGGAGCTCACGAGTCGGTGGTGGTTCAGGTCCCCGGTATGGCAGGAAAGCCACAAAACCCAGGAATTTAGCCAGAAGCCTCAGGCTGAGCAGCACCACAGCAAACTGCCTCCGTTCACCCTGCAGGGGGGTCAGGGAAATAAAAGGTCCTAACATAAGACTTGTAGAAAAAATCCAAATCTGTTACAAAGTTCTTGAAAATACCCCTTCCCTCCTAGGTCAGAACCCCTTCCATTCTCTTGTTCTGCTTTCTAACCTGCCAGTCCACATCTGATTCTCCATCTTCATCACTAGGCTCAGGCTGAGGCAGGACAAGGCTGTTGAGTTCTCGGATTTTCAAACTCAGACTATCCATAAGATGCTGATTAAACTGGAAGCTAGGAATGGGGGCAAGAAAGAAAAAAAGGCACTGGAACAGGTGTAAGAACCAGAATAGAGAAGAGGTGCTCCAGACAGAAAGGGTCAGTGGGGTTGAGAGGGAAGGCCCAGGAGCATGAGGTTCCTCATGTGAGTGAAAGAAGATCTTAAGATGGCAGGTTAAACAATGAGCTTGCCTCCTCCCATGATCACATCAAAATACAATTATAGAACAACCATCACTGAGATCCACTTGAAATTTAGCCGAGTCCTATAACTAAGGATATAAAGAAGCCACTTTGAGACTGGCAGGAGGGGCAGAGACGCTGAATGGGCAGGTCCTACACCTACAAGTGGTGATTAAGAATCCAGAGGGTGCCCTGGCCAGTTTGGCTCAGCGGTTAGAGCGTCAACCTACAGTCCAGAGACCCAGGTTCTGTTCCCGCCAAGGGCACGTACCTCAGTTGCAGTTTGTCCCCAGCCCTGGATGGGTCATGAGGGTGGCGACCACTCGATGTTTCTCTCTCTCTCTTCCTCCCTCTCTCCCTCCTGCTCTATCTGAAGATAAATGCAGAAATGTCCTCAGGTGAGGATTAAAAAAAAAAAAAGAATCCAGAGGGTTATCTCAGTTGTGGAGATCCATCCTGAGGAGCAAGGGATCTCAGCCCCACATCAGGCTCCCCAGCTCAGGCTACCAGTGCCAGCAAGTCTCCATAACTTCCAGCTGTAGAAGCCAGCAGGGACTGCATTCCTGTGAGACAGAGGGCTGCTGAGGTACCGGGGCTCCTCTTCAGGAGCCAGTGCAGTCTCGCTTGTTCACAACTCACTTGCTCTGAATCTAGCGCAGGGGCAGCAGCTTGAAAAGCTCCAGGGACATATGGGGAGGAATTGAATTGACTAGCTTCAGGGCAAGGGCTGGAGGGGGAGAGGTCAGGGCAGCTCTGTGTGGAGATAAAAACACTGGCAGGCACCACTGTTCCTTCTTGGAGCTCTTCCCCAACCCAGCCGGTAGTCTGTGCTCCCCATTATCTGTTCACTAGCTCTGGGGATTCCCCGAGGCCTTATCCCACCACTACTCATGTGCCTGGCTCGAGCCACTTCCAGCTACTTTTCCACACAAGTGACCTGCCTTGGTTTGTGCTGTGGACTTTCCTAAACTTTCTCAAAGGTTCACAAAACCCAAACATGCAAAGGCTGACCTTGGTTTTCCCTATACCTCTTGCTAAGCGACCCCAAACCTGGCACACGTGGCATCTGGTCTCCACTTGCATTGTAACTCCCATCAGGTGGTCCCAAGCCTTGCCAGTCTTAGACTGGAACATAGCTCCACCAAAGTGGCCAAAGCTTGGAACAAGTAGTGGCAGGCCTAAGCTCACACTGTGATGCCATCAAGGGGCACTAGTAGCAGCCAGCCTCGGTTCACAGCATAGCCTCTCCCAAGTACTGCCAAGCCCAGCACAAGTGGCAACCAAACATATACCACTTTGTAGCTCCAACCAGGTAGCCCCAAGCCAAGCACAAATGGCAGCTGACCTTGGTCTGCATTGGAGCTCCCTCCTCCTAAGAGGCTCCAGAACCAACACACCAGCTGATTGGCTTCAGATCACAACAGCGCACCAGCCAACAAGCTCCACAAATAATACAACTGAAGGAGGGACTTGATTGCTACCAGAGCCCTGCTAAAGTGACTCTTGCTCTGTGGGGTTAGCCTCCACACAGAAGCTGTTCACTATAGTCATGGCCAGCCCTCACAGCCAGTCAGACTGAGTCAATCCCACCCCACTGATGGGCCAAAAGCAATCAAGCCTCAATTACAACAGGAGGGCACATACAACCCACACAAAGGACACCCTGTGGAGCACCTAGCTCAGCGAACAGGGAGACTGTGCCACTAGACCTCACAGGACACTTACTACTTAAGGCTACTCTGCCAAAATGGAGATGTAGCAAATCCACCTAATATACAGAAACTAACACAGGTGGTCAGCCAAAATGAGGAGACAAACATGTCCCAAATAAAATAACAGGAAAAAAAACTAGAGAAAAAGAACTTAAACAGAACAGAAACAGGCAATCTACCAGATACAGAGTTCAATACACTGGTTATACGAATGCTCAACGGCCCTAGCCAGTTTGGCTCAGCGGGTTTGATTTCAGTCAAGGGCATGTACCTCGGTTGTGTTTTAGTCCCCAGCCATGGTCGAGGTCATGTGTCTCTCTCACATCAAAGTCTCTCCCCACCCCACTCTATCTGAAGATAAATGGAAAAAGTTTCCTCGGGTAGGATTTAAAAAAAAATCAAGAATGCTCAATGAAGCAAGAAGGACATGCGAGAGGAAGCCAAGCAGAAGTTGGCTGTTTTTGTTTTTAAAAAAAAGAATTCTCGCCCTGGCCGGTTTGGCTCAGCAGTTAGAACGTCGGCCTGCGGTCCAGAGAGACCTGGGTTCAGTTCCCGCTAAGGGCACGGGCCTCAGTTGCAGTTTGTCCCCGGCCCTGGTTGGGTCGTGCGGGCGGTGACCACACGATGTGGCCCTTTCACGTCGATGTTTCTCTCTCTCTCCCTCCCACTCTATCTGAAAAAAAAAAAAAGGGAAAAATGTCCTCAAGTGAGGATTAAAAAAAAAAAAGAATTCTCAATGAACAGCGGGGAAGAATAGATGAACTCAATGAGAACCTCAATAAAGACACAGGAACTATAAAAAAGAGCCAGTCAGAAATGAAGTCTACAACAACTGAAATAAACAAAACATTAGAAGGAATCAACTGATTAAATAAAGCAAAGGGTCAAATCATTGATCTGGAAGACAAGGTAGAGGAAAACACCCATTCAGAACAGCAAAGAGAGACAAAGAATTTTTAAAAATTAGTATAGTTTAAGGGGCATCTGGGACATTAAGGGAAACCACATTTGTAACACAGGGATACCAGGAAGGATGAGAAAGAGCAAAAAATTAAAAATCTATTTGAAGAAATAATGATGGAACACTTCCCCAACTTAGTAAAGGAAATAGACATACAAGTCCTAGAAGCACAGAGTGTCCCAGACAAGATGAACCCAAAGAGGCCCACACCAAGGCACATCATAATTAAAAAGTCAAAGGTTAAAGACAAAGAGAAAATCTTAAACACAGCAAGAGAAAAGCAGTTAGTCACCTACAAGGGAGCTCCCAAAAGACTATCAGCTGATTTCTCAACAGGAACTTTGCAGGCCAAAAGGGATTAGCACAAAATATTCAAAATAGCAAAAAGCAAAGACCAACAAAAAATTTTACTCTACCCATCAAGGCTATCATTTAGAATCAAAGGAGAGAAAGAATTTCCCAGGCAAGAAAAAGCTTAAGCAGTTCACCACCACTAAACCAGTATCATACAAAATGTCAAAGAGACTTCTTTACGAAAAAAAGAAGCCGGTGTGGCTCAGTGGATTGAGTGTTATCCCATGGACTGAGAGGTGCCGGTTCAATTCCTGGTCAGGGCACATGTCGGGGTTGAGGGTCAATCCCCAGTGGCGGGGGGAGGGGCGCGTGCAGTAGGCAGCCAATTGATGTTTCTCACATCAATGTTTTATCGTTCCCTTCCTCTCTCTCTAAAAAGTCAATAAAAACATATTTAAGATAAAAAATACAAATAAGAAAAAAAAATAGGAAAGAAAAAAATTCTCACTGACAAAGACACTTAAAAAGTGTTGACTAGCCCTGGCTGGTCTGGCTCAGCAGTTAGAGCATCGGCCTGCGGTCCAGAGAAACCCAGGTTCGGTTCCCGCTAATGGCACGTACCTCTGTTGCAGTTTGTCCCCGGTCCTGGTCGGGTCATGCGGGAGGCAGCCACTGATGTTTCTCTCTCTTCCTCCCACTCTATCTGAACAAAAAATGGAAAAATGTCCTTGGGTGAAGATAAAAAAAAAAAAAAGTGTTGACTAAGCCCTGGCTAGTTTCGCTCAGTGGTTAGAGCGTCGGCTTGTGGACCAATGAGTCATAGGCTCGATTCCAGTCCAGGACATGTACCTCGGTTGTGGTTTGTCCCTGGTCTCAGTCAGGTCATGTGGGAGGCAACCAGTCAATGTGGCTCTATCACATAAATGTTTCTCTCTGTCTCCCCCCACCCCTTCCCATTCCATCTAATGATAAATAGAAAAATATCTTCAGGTGAGGAATAAAAAAAATATAAATAAATAAAAATGTAAATAAAAATATAGTTGGCTAAACCAACTATAAAGCTGGTACAAAGGTTAAAAGGCAAAAGTAGGAATGTCATGTGTAATTACAATAAAAGGTACACACACACACACACACATAAATGAAGTGAAAAAAATGACAAAAACATAAATGTGGAGGGAGTAAAAATTGTAGTGATTTTAGAATATGTTCAAACTCAAGTGACCATCAACTTAAAATACACTGCTATAAACATAGCTTGGTATATATATATATAGCACATTTTAATCACAAACCAAAAATCTGCAAGAGATATACAAGATATAAAGGGAAAGGAGCCCTGGCTGGTTTGGCTTGGCAGTTAGATCATTGGCCTGTGGACCAAAGAGTCCACGGTCATATTCCAGCCATGGGCATTTACGTTGGTTTCAGTTAGTCTCCGGCCCGATTATGGTTGTGCGGGTGGCAACCAATTGATGTCTCTCTCTCACATCAATGTTTCTCTTTCTCTCTCCCTCCCACTCTGTCTGAAGATAAATGTAAAAATATCCTTGGGTGATGGGAAAAAAAAAAGGAGAGAGGAATCCATACACAACACTATAGAAAGCCATCAACATACAAGAGAGGAAGATGCCCTGGCCGGTTTGGCTCAGCGGTTAGAGCATCAGCCTGCGGTCCAGAGAGACCCAGGTTCGGTTCCCGCTAAGGGCATGTACCTCGGTTGCAGTTTGTCCCCGGCCCTGGTTGGTCGTGCGGGTGGCAGCCACTTGATGTGTCCCTTTCACATCGATGTTTCTCTCACTCCTCCTCTCTCTCCCTCCCACTCTATCTGAACAAAAAATGGAAAAATGTCCTTGAGTGGGGAT